CTTTTTTTTTCTCCAAATAAAATGCATGCTGCTCCTGTGAATAACAAATCTTTAAGCCTGTGACTGTGCAAATATGCATGATGTCAGATTAAAAAGTGGAAGCTGTTGTGAGCTCCAAGACTTTTGTCAGAAATAATGTAGGCTGGTGCTTGATCAGAATGTGCACAGAAGTGCACTCTTGTGCCAATTGTCTTGTGGTCATTCATCATTGTTGGTTGTAAAGTCCTTTGGAAATATTCAAGTCATGGAAGATGCTTTAAGAATATTCTGTAATTGTCCAGAATTATGTGCCTCCAGTAGAAGTTTCTTCTGCAGGTGGAAGTTGCAAAGATTAGTCTCTGAACCAGTTTCCTGCGGTCTCCTGAAACTTAGTAAATTACTTTATTATGGAGTTACCCAGCACATCCCCTCATAAACTGTCTGCCAGTCAGAGTGTGGACTACATTTGAAGTTAAGCAGTATCAGAAAATATGGGTACTTCTAATGCATTCAGCTAATGCATTCTGACAGGAGTCAGACCTGGATTGACACTTAAGAGAGAAACCACATGTTCACTCAATATATTTAGTCAATTTCTCGAATGCCTGACAAAGTCCTTTCCCCATCCCTTTTGTCATGAACTGAAGAAGAACTTTGGCCTTTCATCAAATATTTCCAAGCTATCATATGAGATTGTGCAACTCCATTTGATCCACATTGGATGCAACTCAGACTGTCATGGAATACATCATCGTTGGCTTCCCTTTTATTAATATCAAAGATGTGCAGCCATGTGCTTTTGGCTTTATGATTCCCATCCATTTCTGCATGATGTATCCATTCAAAGAAGGAGGATCTTAAATGGCAAGCCTTGCCTGCAAGAAGGAAGAAATGCATAGGTCAAAGATAGTAGTTACTTTGCTTGCATAAAGTCATTTGTGCTCTAACATGGCTACGTAACCTGATTACAGACCTAGATGGCTTTCCACGTCTAAGCAAGGACGAATTGTCTCATTTACTGGGAATGCCTAGTCTTTCTAGCTTACATTTTGTCTTCTGGCTGCATTCTTTGTTTTTGAAAAGACACAATACCACTACTTTTGATCATTCAGGTAGTTATTTTCAATCTTCTCCCAATCTGTGGTGTACGTGCCATATTTCCTGAGGTTTGACTTCAAGGTATCCTTGAACCTCAATCTCTTCCTTTCTCACAAGTGGTGTTCTTAGTTAAGTTGTGAATACATAACCACCTTCATGGTTTTATCAGCAGTCATATGTACTACATGTCGATCTAAACTGAGCTCTGATGGTGAGTACTTCAATTCTAGACACTTCTGTTCTTTGAAGTACTTCAGTGTTGGGCACTTTGTCCACCCATTTGATGGCCATGAGATTCTAGATTCCACGGGATGCATGAACTCTTTAATATGAAGTATGTACTCCATATCACTCAGGCATCTAGGAGGGTCGGTATTGCCACAACTTTGTATGCAGCAAATTTTGTAGGAGGTATGGTATCTCATTTCATCAACAGTCTGTTACAATATGGTCAAATGTTAAGCTTGTTCTTGCAATTCTGTTTGCCATCTCTGTCAATGCAGATGTTTCTGGAGATTGTGCTTCCTAGATAGGTGAAGTTATCTAGGGCTTTTAGAATTGTGTTATTAGCAGTTATAGTAGTTTAGCTGTAGTCAGGATTGATGATGGTCGGTGGAGTATCTCTGACTTCCTTAAGCTGAAGTTTAGGTCATGATCATCAACTACCTTTTGAAAAACAGTCTATCATCCTTTGAAGTCAGCTCAGTGTGACATGAGGGTACGGCAATTTATGGAAATCATGGAACACATAATGGAGAATATAAGAAATGAATTTAAATGAGAAACTACGCATTTAAAAAGATAACTGAACTATTGCCAGATTTAAGGAAATTGAACTCTTCATTGGTTAAACATTTTTGTTTCTACTTTGCTCTTGTACAGTAGAACTTCTCAAAGATTATGTAGACCTAAACAACAAAAATAAAGCTTTTCAGGTGGAAAAATTTGAAATGCTAATTATTTGCCCTGTGTCCTTTTGCATTCCATTTTCAGCTTGGTTTTTATTTTGACCGTTCTCCTGTTTAATCTGATATTCTATTTACTTGTGTTCTTCAAAACTTTTAAACTTTCTATTTATCTCCATTTGTCTTCTGAATTCCATACTCCATTTTGAAGATAGGGCATCTGTTAATGTGAAAATGGAAAGTGACTGCCAATAAATTAAATAACTGCACTTTCCCCACAGTGCAGTTCTGTGTCTGGAAGATTTAAATTACATTCAGATGCTTCTGACTGACCTGAATTGAAAATTGTTTCCCCAGTGGTTTACCTTGTTAGCTTCTTAAGATTAAATTTTTTTTAATACAAAGGCTGCAGGTACTTGCTAGTATTATGTACGAAAAGTAAAACCAGAATATTCAAAAACATTCTAAAACCAGCCATTTGATATTATCTGTTGTCTGTAATGTATTAAAATTTTGATCTTGAATGTAGATTTTACATTTTAAACTGATTTACAATTAATAAAAGTTCATGTTTGAAATTTTCATCTTCTGGAAGAACTTACAGTAAATTATGATTGCAACTTTGTTTCAACGCAAATTAATAAGCCAATATTCTCAAAATAGTGTAACATGACTTTTGCCTGACTTTTGCATAAATAGTTTTAATTTTTTTGTGAATTTCTTCCAAGGCTTGAAATATTTTCTTCTCTTTGCATTGATGCATGTTGCATTGTGGTAAAAATAACCACTGTTACCCAAAAGCCTTAGAGTATTCAGAAGATTATTAGATCATCATGCTAACATTTTCATCCCTAAGTTTATTATATAAAGGCTTCTTTGCTGGGTTTTCAGGACAAAGAAATGCTTTTAAATCTTGTTTTTGAGAATTGAAACCAAGATGTTTTTGCTACTTAAAGTTGTTGGAAAAGCTCAGCAGGTCTGGCAGCACCTGTGAAGGCAAAAAACAGAGTTAACGTTTCAGGTCCGGTGACCCTTCCTCAACAGTTCTGAGGAAGGGGTACCGGACCCGAAACGTTAACTCTGTTTTTTCCTTCACAGATGCTGCCAGACCTGCTGAGCTTTTCCAGCAACTTTGTTTTTGTTCCTGATTTACAGCATCTGCAGATCTTTCGGTTTTTACCAAGATTAAGTAGGCTTGAGGTAGAGGTCTAAAAACTTTCCAGGTTTTGAACTGTTTAACAGTGTGTTTTAATGTTTCCAGCTCTTGTTATCCTGCTGGTTTTAAGAACCTTTTTAATGTTCAGATATTGTCTTGTTCTGCCATATTTTAATGGTTATGATTGAACTTTGTACTAATCAAATTTTCATGCTACCTAATACTAGCATGGTATTACATTATATATTTCATAGTGATCTATTAGCTCTTGTCCTGGCAGGTATTGTGAATACTCAACCAAGGCAATATTGAGCCAATTTTAGAGGTGTTTAGTGTACATTTTCAATTTACTGAAATAATTAGAACAAGATTTAGCTATTCATATCACTGAATACTGTGAATTGTAGTACCATTCAGTACTTGGTTATAGTCATAAAAATCTGCTATGACGTAGTGCCTAAACTTGAATAAAGACTAGTCTCCAAACAGGTATTTCTATAATACAGAAAGAGTAATTCAGCAAAGAAAGGGTTTGGTCTATGAACACAGTACAGAATTGCAAGGTAGAAATTTGCAGCTAACCTCTCCAATGTCAGAAACTAACATTTGGAAAATATCAGATTTTCCATGATCCAGTGTCAAAGTAACTGCTAGGAATAATATGTCTAATAATATTAAACAATAATTTAGTAAAACAATAAATATTGCTTGTTGATAAATATTTGGTATCATTTGGTATAATGAATATTGATTAAGAAATAGTTACAGCACAGTTGAATAATTCACTGCTATGGGTGCAAAATCTGAGTGGTGTAGTTTTGCATTCCACGCTGTATGACTCTGATTGGCATGTTATGTTAAAACTTGTACAGGAGCTATTTACCAATAATGTGCCTTTTCTCAATATGTTCAAAGAATGAAAAAAATCTAATTTATTTAGTACCTTTCATCCCAGAGCATTTCATGGCCAATTTCTTAATTCTGAACTGTAGTCACTATTACTTTATAGGCAAATAGCCTATAAATTCCTTGTCTTTATGATTTGTTTTAATCTGGCTTTGAACAGAAACTTTTTTTCAGTATCTCATCTGAAAAATATTACCTCCAACAATGTGGCACTTTCTCCTATTTAGAGCATAGACCAGAACCTCCCGCATCAGCCTCCAAATGGCCATGCTGATAATTTCACAAGTGCGCATTGGACAATAATGTGTCTCCAAATTATTGCAATAGGAAAGCAAAAAAAGTGTAAGTAAAAACTGAAAGAACTGCAGATGCTGGAGATCAGAAACAAAAACAGAAGTTGCTGAAAAAGTGCTGCAGGCCTGGCAGCAGTTCTGAGAAAGGGTCACTGAACCCAAATGTTAACTCTGATTTCTCTCCACATCCTGCCAGACTTGCTGAGCTTTTCCAGCAATTTCTGTTTTTTGCAAAAAATGTGCAGATCTTTTCAGAATAAATGGTGAAATATTCTGTTGAACCAAATAATCAACAGATGAAAGAAACGTATTTGTGCTTTTTCCAAGATTTTGTTTTATAGTTAATAGAACAGAACAGTTCTGTATATGCAAACTTGCTAAAATCCTAGAAATCTGTAAAGTATAGCAGCTTTTCATTTTAACTAATTTTATAGACATTGCTTAGATTCCAAAACCTTTAAATCAGATTTAATTACAGATTTACTCATTGTGAGGCACTACTTTATAGCAGATGTTTGAGTTTTGTGTTCAGTAAATTTTCATAATTTTCCTTTGTAAAAACTTGTCAACATAAAAATTAAACCTTTTCAGGTTCTTTTCCTTCCATTGCATTTATTTGCACATGATCGACTTTTTTTAGCTATAATTCTTTCGTAGTTGTATAAGTAGTTAGCTGTGGATGCTATATCCATCCAGCTAAATTAATTACTATTTCAAGTCACTGCTGTACGACTTTACGAGTGTCTTGTTTTTGTCCCCTTTATATTCATTCGCAGGCTGGACGGTTTTCCACCAAACGTCTGAGAGAGTGACCTATAAATCTAGTAGCAAACCTCGTACCAGATTCCTCAGTGGACCTGTGTCTTTGTCCATCTGTTTGTATATGTTCTTTTGTATTTAAACTAATCATCCCATCACCTCTTCTTGCTATCTCAGTCCATTTTATATTTCTGCAGGAAGCCTGCTTTTTAGCCCATTTTTTAATTTATTGGTTACCAAAATTGCTTTTTTTTTCATTTTACATACAAATGCTTTAGTGCACTGCTTCTGGCTCATCACTAAATATTAACAGCATATGTGGAAGAGCTCATCTTCTGTGTATATAACATATAAATAAATTAAGATGTTGCATAATGTTTACTCAGAAAATTTACTGTGTACCAAAGCTTTTGTATTTTAGTATAATTTGTGTTTAAGTAATTTATTTTACTTTTCTCAAAATATGGCAAATGTACAAGTCTACTCTCCTAGCATCTCATTTCACCAAAAATGGAGAACTCAGAACTCCTGTAGAAGACTGGTCTCTTTCACACATGTTTCGACAATGAAGACTTGCATGTAACAAGCTGGATACTTAATGTATTTCCTTGATGCAGTACTAGGAAGGTCACAGGAGGCTGAAACCCTTTTTTAAGGACTGTGATAAATATTTTGATATTTTTACACTGTTGTATCTTTGAGATGTCTGCATGCGAAAAATGCTGATACATCAGTGCTCCAGTTAGTGTTCAGTAGAATAGTCTAACATGGTTTTCAGTAAGCTTTGTTCAGTCACTTCCATTTGAATATTTTCTACTCTCATTTACTGCACTTGTAACAACACCTCCATTTTCCTATTAGTCTATTAACTGTTAAGTAATAGATATTTAGGATGTTTCATTTGTGTGTTCTGGGTTATAAATACATTTTGTGCCAGATACACTTTATAATGTGGAAATCCTGGCTGGAGCACTAGAACTGATTAAATCTGTTATGCTGTTGTGTATATTGCCACAGTACATGTGATGTAGAATGTTTGAAACTACCTTCAAAAAAAAACTCTTCACCCTTATAAAACCCACTTCTAATGTTTAAGGTGTCATTATTTAGGATAAAACTTTGTGCTCACAGTGATTGTTGAAAACCAGCGTTTTGGAAAAAATATTTCATTCAAACATCGGTACGCAAGGATTTGGGCAGATAAATGTATGCCAACAATTGCTGTTTTGATCTGCAAAGACAGTGGTCTGGGGTTTCCAACCTGTGACTCTCGGCACCAATCAAGACCCATTGATTCAGGAGTGAGGATGTAAAGACTGCATGCAATAACATCCTGAAGTTAGACCAGCAGTTGAGCTAGCGCTGCAACAGATGATCATTTGACTTTCTTTTTGTTAGCTCATCACGCTTGGACACTTAGCTAGTATTTCTATAACCCTGCTGGCTGAACACCAAATGATTTGTTTGAAATTCCATTTGTTAAATTGATTAAAATTTATACAAAGGGCTGATTGGCTCCTTAAGTGGCTGATGAAGCATATTACAAGGAAATGGAAATTTGAAATTTAAAAACCTATTCAAGTAGAATATCTTTTCAAATGGGAAACCCGTATAGAATAGTGGATATCTCTACAAATTGATTTAAGTGTGAAGTATTAGTGCAAAAGGTTCCTCTAGAATAGTATACTTATAACTCTTCAAGGTGAAGGCAGTTTGTCTCGTAATATTCCTGCCAGTATTCTTTTCAGCATTCACATTATTGAAGAAAACTTTTTTCAAATGTATTGATTAGTGGCATGCTAAATTTATGTAGAATGTAGTAAGGTATAAATGGTAACCTATAAGCTTCACTCTGAGCACACAGTTTTATACCCCATTTTGTGTACTATGATTTATACAGTTTTCTTGGAATAAAGTCTGTTTCTTTCAACAATTTATTTCAAACAACGAACATTTTATCTTTGTGCTGTTTTGAATATATAAAGATATATTGTCCTGATCAGGTGCTGAAGGCCATTTAAGTATTGTAAGATGACAAATATTTTGTAATGATTTTATTTTCAAGGAAGAAATGTGGATAAAATTTTAAAACCAGTAAGTTTAGAACAAAGGTTAACCTTCTTATTAAACTGTTATTTAGCTTTGAAAGCCTTATTTACTAAAATCAGTGATGAATTGTGGTTTTGTTGTGAACTTTTTGACCATGTAAATACTTATGTATCCAGTGCAGGAGAAGATTGTTCCCACAAGAAATTCATTTCATAGTCATTTCAGTTTGATGTTTGGAATTTTCCTGTGCTATAGGCAGTTTTACTAATGTTCTACAATGTAAATTCACCCCACTGACGTTGCCAACAAAACTGAACTAGTCAAGGTAATTTGCCTAAAAACTGCAACCTGATGAGAGCCAATACTAATTCAGGAGTTGTAGATGAAAAGAGAGCTTTTAATAAAAAAGCAAAATACTGTAGATGCAACAAATGTGAAACAAAACCAGAAAACCACCTGGTCAAGCAACATCCCTGGAGAGAGGAAAGTCACTTTAATATTTCGGGTTTTATAACCCTACGTTGGAATCCTTCATGATTTATTAACTTGACCTTCCATCTCCATGGGTCCTATTTGAGTATTTCCAACAATGTTGCTGCTTTTATTACAATTAATCTTAATTGCTAATTTCACCTAAACTTCATAACTAATCTTTTACACTTTATTATTTGTTTCTATTCACGTGAAGAAAAATTTAAATACAGTAACTGCAAAGAAGATGGTGTTCATTTACTAAAAACAAATGATTTACAAAGTCTGGTTTATCCCTGAAGTCCAGAGGGTACTGGATACAAAATCCAGCACATCGCATCATAAATTATATGCACCAAAGCAGTACAAACCCGAGTGCAAGGTTAACCCGCTCCCCTCATTCCCCCCAAAAAAAACCCTTTTGATCTTGGGATGGCTTTTGGAAAATAATTAATTGGCACAGGTAAGTTTTTTTTTTAAGTTATTTTTCAGTGTTAAGTAATTTTTAATCACAGGAAGAATGTTTCTATTTGTGTGAATCTTTTTTGAAATATTCCATTAACGATGAATAATTTAAAACAGTTTTCATTAACGTGTTAGTTGAATCGGAAGCTTTGCCATGTTTCTCAACAGCTATGAACCATGCACCTTTCCCAGTAAGATTACTTTGAAGTATGTTGACGAGTTGAAGAGCAAGTGCTTGCCTTCATTAATTCTACCTGCTGCTATTCTGTTGTGGTGCTGTGCTTCAGCTATCCATAATTATGTCTCCGTTGATATTTAGCTCCTTACCCCACAGCAACATAATTGCACAAAAATCTACCTTAAGATGATCGTGAGCATTCTAGTCAATAAGGTTTTGGAGTAGATCTGTAGCTCGGGTTGTGGGTGTTGAGGTTGGTTGGCACGGTAACGAAACGATTGCAAAACAACAAACCAGCTCGGCAAGCCAACCAACCTCAACTTCTAGTCAATGTTCCAAATCAGGATATTTTATTCAGAGGCAGATGAGACCAAGCTCAGGGTCTTTTAATATGGCTGCATTCGAATAATCTTGATTTTCATCATGGACTAATTGTTGTTTGCAAGAAATAATCATCAAAATACTTGGATTTCCCACGGTGATGTTGGACCAGGATATAAAGAGCATGGTGTGCAGTTATATCTCCTGGTAGAACCTTCCTTTCCATCTAATTCCTGGAAAAACTCAAAAGAATATTGGAATGAAAATTACCTTTGACTTGAACATTAGTCACTCTGTGGAGTATGGATTGAGATGGTATCTGGTGTATCATTAGGTCAGTGCATTAGAGATCACACATGCTTATATGTATAAATATGCAGTTTGTGCATTTGCATTGATCATCAAATTTACTTGATTCCCACGTTATTATTTTGCAACTAAAGTGACTGTCAAATTTATCTGGTGAAGCAGAATAGCAGATTTTAATGCACGGGTTTTATTCTCTTATGATACCATAGTTCAGTCAACTTTGCGATATGAATTTCTGCCATTGATAAACATACAGTTGGAGTAGATCATGATCATGAAAAGTCAGTCATAAGTGGGAGATGTAACATCTGTTTATAGCCATTGTGGACCATGTGTCACAGCAGGTTAACTGCCTTGGCCACAATTAGAGGAGCATGTTGAAATAAGTTACCTTGAGATTCGATATTAACTGTTGCCAGTTGATGGAACAACATCTTCAGCTTCAGAGTAATTTCTGGACAGCAGTCTTGAACAAAAGTGATCTTACTAAGCTCCTGTGCAACAGGTGCCAACAAGCCACATCACTGACGGTTTACAATCCCAAGCTACATCACTAAAATTGTTTCCTTTCCTGTTACAAAGCAGTGTGCTTCAAAATTGGTAATGGAATGTGACACTCACTGATGAAAAATGATCCCAATTTTGAGTTGTCACTTCCCTTGAATGACGGCACCTACATTCTACCGGTGGTGTTATTTGGGTATGTGTAGGTTGTGCCCTTTCTTAAGCAAGTAGTTGACCATTCAATATTCAGATAATGTATGATAGCCACACAACGTTAGTTTTGTTTTCCTTGAGCCTATGTGTGACATTAATGGCATCACCTGGAAATTGTGAATTCCACGTGTATGGAAAGTGAGGCAGAATGCAAACCTAGTTTCTAGAGACATGGGTTATTCTTCAAATGTAATTGAGACTTTTGTGAAAGCCACAAATCTTTTCTCTATCCTTCTTTCTCCTCTCTGTCTGTCGTCCACACAACCCCTCCAAAAATTACCACTTGATGCCTTCTTGGGGAAGAAAATCAAAATGTTAGAGATCTTTGGAGGTTTTCTTAGGATTGCTTGCAGTTCTACTAGCTGTCTTCATAGAAGTCAAACCTTACTCTGAGAATCTGTACATTTTGGGTTGTTATCTTGTCACTAGCCCAGAGAAAAATGATAAACTTCATTTGAGCGCTCACGCAGTTGTTGAACGTCAAAGTGTATCTGCATGTGTAGAAACTATTGCAGAACTGAGAGTTCTCAGAGTGCTTGCCTTAAGACTGTCCTTAACAATATTTCTTAACTCACTTAAATGTGCCACCTTTCTTGGATTGTGAAT